TTGGAGTGTAGCCAAGGGGCCTCTCATGACCCCATACCCCTTATGAGGGAAACTGGAACTCAGTTCTGAAGTAATACCTGCCTCCTGCCAGCTCTTCCCTTCTTCCAGTAACATGGCAGCAAACATTTATTGAGCACTTACTTTGTGCTAAGCAGTTTATTTAATCACCAAAACCACTCTGTAAAGTAGGAGTTAATAACATCCCCTCTTTAAAAGGGAGGAAACTGATGCTGAGAGTGGACAAATGACTTGCCCAAAGTCACACAGCGTGTCACTGGAGGGACTGGGGTTCACCTGCACTACTGAGCCCCATGTTTAATTAAGCCCAAGTCCAATTTCACTGGGAGGTCTTACAAGGAGTATGGTTCATCACAATTACTGTCTCTGTTCATTCCGTGCCCTGCATCCACTCTGCCCTGGAACCCTCACCTACCCGCCCCACCCCATCTGCCCTGAAAGCTGTGGAATCCCCTTGGGCCATTTTGCATCCTCTTGCCCAGATCCCACTGCTGTTATCAGGTGGGTCTCCAGGGACCATGACACTGTGTGAGGTCTGGACTCCTATCCGAACAATTTGTATTGTCATTTAGCCACAGTATGAAGCCAAGACTGTAGGAGAGAACAGTCTTCTTCAGCATCTGACTTATGTACTAAAGAAAATTCCACTCTGACTTGATTATAATTTATAGGACAGTAACTGCATTTGACCTGGAGTTAAGAAAGGCCATTATAGGAATAGAGGAACTCTAGATATGGCAGAGGGGTGGAAGGGGAAGAGAGGGGGCATGGGGTTAGAGATGGTGGTGGAATGTGATGGACATTATTATCCAAAGTACATGTATGAAGACACAAATTGATATGAATATACTTTGTGTACAACCAGAGATATGAAAAATTGTGCTCTATATGTGTAATAAGAATTATAATGCATTCCACTGTCATATATAAATAAAAAATTAATGAAAAAATAAATAAATAAAAAATAAAACCAGAGCTGGGAATTACATCATCTCCATGCAGAAATCTGTTTATTGATTGAAGAATTAATGGTCTACAATAGGTTTTCTTAAAATAACAGTTTTCAAACTCAGTATTCACTAGGTTAACCAGTATTATTTGGATTCAGATCAATTAAAATTTCTCTTTGCATTCACTGTCAGCTTACAAATACATTTATATACCACTTTTCATCAAACAGTGATTAGGTAAAATCCAACGTGGTTTTCTTTTGCCTTTTGGCATTATCACCCTGAAAGCCAAGAGTAAGAGTTAACGTTGAGCTTTAGAAACCTGTTTAACCAGACGTCTTGTATAATATCTCTGTTTCCTTTCATTTCATTTCATTTTTGAAAATTGTGACCTGTGTCCCTTGGCCAGAAAATGAAGTTGCAAATGTTTCTCTGTTCCCAAACCATGGCACTCTCCACAAAATAAAGAGAAAGTAAGGGACCAGGGTAGTGTAGCTCAGGCGTAGAGCTTGCATGAGCTTAGCATGCGAGAGACTGTGGCCTGTTTCACTTAGCATAATGTCTTCAAGTTTCATCCCTCTTACAGCATGTGATAGGATCCACTTCCTTTTTACAGGTTAATAATATTCCTTTGTAGCATACAGCATGTTTTGTTTACCTACTTCTTTGTCAGTGGATGTTCGAATTTCTTCCACCGCTTGGCTATTGAGAATAATGGTCCGATGAACACATGTGCAAATATTTAAGACTTGGCTTTGAATTCTTTGGGGTTTATTCCCTGATATCAGCCTACTGGGTTATATGGTAGTTCTATTTTTAATATTTTGAGGAACTGCCATAGTGTTTTTCACAGTGGCTACATCATTTTACAGTCCTACCAACAGTACAGAGACTTCCAGTTTCTCCACCCTCTCCAATACTTGTTATTTTCTTATTGTTGTTTTGTTTTGTTTTGTTTTTGACAGCAGCCATCCTAATGAATGTGAAGTGATAACTCAGTGTGGTTTTGATTCGCAGTTCCCGGATGACTAGTGACGTGAGCATCTTTTCCTGGGCTTGTTGATCAGGCGTATATCATCTTTGCAGAAAGTCCTTAGCCCACTTTTTAAATCAGGTTATTTGATTTTGGTTGCCATAAAGTTGTAGTCTCTATCTGTTTTGGATATCAACCTCTTAACAGATACAGGATCTGCAAATATTTCCTCCCATTCCACAGGTCGTCTTCACCCCGTTAGCAGGTCCTTTGGTGTGCAGAGGTCTTAAGTTTGATGTGGTTTTGTCAGTTTTTGCTCCCTGTGCTTTTGGGGTCATGCAAAACAAGTATTGCCTAATCAAATGGCATGAAGCTGCCCCTGTTTTCTTCTCCGAGTTTTGTAGGTTTTTAAGATTTTTTTATTTATTCTTTTTGGCTGTACATGACAGTAGAGGATATTCAGAGTTTTATAGTTTTAAGTCTTACTTTTGGGTCTTTTAGCCCATTTTGAGTTAATTCTTTATGTGATGTAAGATGAGAGTTCAGGTTCACTCTTTTGTCCACTTTCCCAGCACCATTTCTTGCAGGGACTCTCCTCTCCTCCCTGAGCAGTCTCAGCATCCTCGTCTAGATCCATTGACCATATGCAAGGGTTTATTTCTGGGCTTTCCTTTTTATTCCATGGGTCTGTTAATCTGTCTTTATGTCAGCACCACACTGTTTTGACTATTTTATCTTTGTGATGTGTTTTAAGAGCAGGAAATGTGAGTCCTCCGACTTTGTTCCTTTTTATTTTTACTTGATAAATTCCAAAATGAATAATTTCATTAAAATCAGATGGGAAGTCACTATATTATAATATCATTTAGACAGATTTTCATAGTCAAATGAAAATGGAAGGTTGAGCAATTATTGAGTGTTATCTGAAAATTTGAAATGATTTACCTAGTTTCAATGACAAATTTTGCTTCAACCTTAAATTATACAGATGTATTAGTACATTATAAAATTTCACAAAATAATTGCATCTGACCTGTTCTTTTTAGACTTGATTTATATCACTATTTTTGTCCATAGAAAAGTTGGAAGTTATATGTCTAGAAAAAAGAAAAGTCACATGAATTTCTACCATCTAGAAATAGCTACTATTACTGTTTAGTGTATTACACTCTTTTAAACATTTTTAAAATGCAAATGTGTACACAAATTTTTTATTTTCACATGTGTTGGTTAATAATCTCAGTGGATTTACTGAAAGTTCATATTTGTACAAAATAAAATTATGTGCACTTCTCTTCTTTTTTACTTAATCATACTTTGTGAATTAAAAAAAAAAAAAATCCACACTATCATTTCTAAAAGCAACTTTCTACTCCATTGCCTTGGATCTACCTTGGTGGGTTATTTGCACTGGTAGGCATTGGAATTGTACTTAGTTCACTCCCACCCCCATAAACAATGCTTCGGTGATTCTATTGGTGCACATACACCTTTGCCCAGTTGATTATCTTTTTAGAATATATTTCTAAGAACGAGAATACTAGGTAAACTCTTTTATTGAGTTTGATGATATATTTCTAAATTTCCCTCTTAAAAGTCACAATTTACATTGCCCCTTGAAGTGTACCTATTTGCCTTTGATTATACCAACACTGCACCAGTTTTTAAGTAAAAATGTTATATTTTCCCTTCAACTCACATTTACTTGATTAATAATGAATTTAAGCATTTAAATATTGGATTTAAAAAATTTTTAATTGCATAGAGCTTTTTAGGGTTTTTGTCATTGTCGTTATTACTGCGGACTGAACCCAGGGGTGCTTTACCGCCAAGCTACATCCCCAGTCCTTTTTTATTTTTTATTTTGAGACATGGTCTCACTAAGTTGCTGAGCCTGGCCTTGGAATTGTCTTCCTTCTGTCTCAGCTACTTAAATTGCTGGAATTATTTTATTTACAAAATCTTAACCTTGTTAAGTTTATGCTCTTTTGGGATGAATGTTCTTTGCCTGTTTTTCAATTGTAGTGTCACTTTTACTCTAATGATTAAGTTTTCCCTTACAGACTTAAGTTACAGATAATACTATAATTAGGATAATTTTCAACTTTGTTACCTGGTATCTATGTTGATGATGCTTTATTTTCGCCCTTCAGATGTCTTCAAGTTTGGGGGTTTTTTGTTTTTTGTTTTTTGTTTTTTTTTCAGGGGGTTGGGTACCAGGGATTGAACTCAGGGGCACTCAAACATTGAGCCACATCCCCAGTCCTGTTTTGAATTTTATTTAGAGACAGAGTCTCGCTGAGTTGCCTAGCATCTTGCCTTTGCTAAGGCTAGCGTTGAACTCGTGATCCTCCTGCCTCAGCCTAAAGCCACTGGGATTATAAGCATGTGCCACTATACCTACCCAGCTTCAAGTTTTTATTGAGGGGATGTAGCTCCGTGGTAAAGTGCCCCTGAGTTCAATTCCCAGTTTAAAATAAATAAATAAATAAAATAAAAATTTAGAAAAAAAGTTTTTGTTTGATTTTATTTTACTTTATTTCATTTGTTTATCTTTTATTCAAAGCTGTCAATCTCTTCCACTTTGATTTCTTATCGTGCCTAGAAAATCCCACGTCAGGATGTATAAGTATCTCTCTACATTTTTCCATTGTTTTTAGGGTTTGTGTGGCATTTTGGTCCTTGCATATCAAATGTTAAAAACCAGCACTTTATTTATAAAGTTTTCTAGTTCAATTTACAATAGAAATGCCAAAGAGCACTGGCTTCATATTCCCTCACTAGTACTCTAACCTCCAATATAGGAAAGGAATGGACTGAGACGAATCTATGATATAATGGAGTAGGTAATTATTAAGTGTCAGCTGCCTGCCCAGGAAGGCTCTAGATGTCCTTCTCTAAGACACTGTTGTAAGGAAGGCTTTGCATACTTTTTTTTTTTTTTTTAACCACAGAACTGGTAATGGAGACTGCAGCACAGGTGTGATGTAAATTTTGTTGGCTGCAAATGTGGGCATAGATGACAGTGCTAACAAGGATTATTTTCCTTTCTCTTCCAGATTTTATAGGAAGACTAAACTTGTTGGCTTTCAAGACATGGAGTGCGTGCCTTGTGGAGATCCCCCTCCTCCCTACGAACCACACTGTGAGTGAACACGGTCAAGTCAAGCCAAGGCAGGGGCAGTGGGCCTTTTACAAAGTTTTTATTTCTTAAACCTTTCTTCAATTGGCAAAAGGAGCCAAATCTATCTCTACCATGGGGCTCATAGGATTCTTTTATCCCACTCCTAGCAGGACATAAAGCGTCTTTGTTGTGTGTCTCAGTCTTTAAACTGCCATTGATTTGAATCTCAAAGTGAAATGCAGACATTTTGCTGCTGCTGTGCTCCATTCAATTCTTATCTTTCATTTAGATACATAATGCAGGCAACTCCAATTAACTAGGTGGTCCAGACCCTAATGCTAAATGTCTTTGTGCTGTGGCCCCATGCATTCCTGGGTTTTCCTTTCTTAGTCCCCAGACATGATCATGTGGTGGTGTCTGCCTTTCCAAAGACAGTCCTGTCTGTGAATCCCCTGCTCTCATTAGCGTATCATTAGGTGGACTCCTAGTTCACTTGGTTTATTCCCTAACTTAACAAATGAATGAGAAGAGAGGTCTTACTGTATGCCAAGGATATAACCATTAATGAGACAATGGTACGTTTTCCTCTTCATATTAACATGAGTTAATCTTTTTGACCCTATATTTCCTTAGCTATAAAAGGCATTTGTTACAAGTTATCAACCATATTGATTTGGAATAGGAAGAAGAGTAACAGGTCACTCCTCTTAATTCTAAACCCGGCCAGTGAAAACCTAACGATGCTGGCAAAGGGGAGAAGGCAGCAAGTGGGCTCCCCTGAGGGTCCAGGGGATGCTCCTCTGTGTCAGAGCAGGGCTTTTGAAGTGCTGTTATTCACGTAACCCAGAATCAGCTAAGTCCAGGCAAGAGGATGCAGGAGCATAGGTGGCACAAGCCTTTCTAGGGAGCACTGTTGTGACACAATGCCTAATACATGGAGCCAGTCCTTTTCCTTCTTTCTACAAAGAAAGTTCCCTCCAAAAGAGTTGAAAGTTATTGCATCATTGGATAAGGGCATTAGTGTTATTTCTCTTTCCAAGAATGCCATGGAATTTTGCAGTTCATATTATCATGTGAATTATGAACCAGAATGCATTACTCTCCATTCCTCACTTGAAGTGATAGAAAGTGGGAACGAGGTGGGGGGAGTGGAACACTCTAATTTTTATAGAAAATCTGTATTGACCATCATTTTGATAATATGTAAACATCCACCAGTTCACTGCAGTGAACAAATGCAGTACTGAATGCCTGTTAGTTGTCAGTCACAGTACAGGTGCTTTGCTTATTTGTTTGACTTACTCTTCTCAATAAATTCTATCATCAGCCCCAATTTGCCAGTGAGAATATGGATCCAGAGATGTTAATAGTTTTCCATGTTGGCTGGTACATGGCAGAGACAGTATTCCAACCCAACTATGCTTAACACCAAATATTGGGCTCTTTCTACCAGGCTCTGTGTCTCCCTACAAAAAACATCAAACTATATGACCTGTCCTGCATGTTGACTTTTCTTATGTTGTTTGCTTTAATGTTTGCCAGTTAACAAAAACTCTAGAAATCCATTATATAGGGATTCTGAGAGGTGTTCTTTATGCAGTTGCACAGCCCATAAAGGACATGTCCTTTTGCCAGTTACAACTCAGCAAGCTGGGCCTGCCCAGGGCTCAATCATCTGTGATTTAAGTTAAGAAGCAAGTTCAACCCAAACCATCATGCAGACACTCAGAGAAGTAATCAATATTGCCCAGCTTAGAGTTAATTAGTATTAAAGGTCCCCCCCCCTTTATGGTATTTGGTTTAAATGTAATATAATCTAGTAAAAAGTTTGAAACTTTGGAACATTTTGCCTTTGAGGCTTTGGCTAAGCTTAGATGTCACAAATTAGCCTTTGAACATGGGCCACATGCATCTTTTCATGTCTTATGAAGCCCTTAAAAGGTGTAATTTTGAAAAGAAAATTAGTCTAACATAGATAGATAGATAGATAGATAGATAGATAGATAGATATTCTCCATGTGTGAAATTCTTTAGAAAGCAAAGAAAAATAAATCATTTGTCAAAGTAAAAAATACAGTGTGCACAGTGAAGGACCTTTCAAACCACAAAGTAAGACAGTCTGGTCCTCTTTAGTATGGTAATTCTTATCTCTGGAAAAGAAAGCTTGCTGCCTTTGGCTCTGTTCTTGGGAATGATTCCAGAATGCAAATAATCTCCTCAAAGGACATCTTGAAGTCTTTGGAGGAAATTGTGCAAGGCGCCTTATGTTTTCATTTCTTCTACTTTGGGCTTTTCAACTCATCCACAAAGGCTGCTTCTTGGTGATTTCCCCTGAGGAGTTCCTGTATCGTTGAGACTCATGGCTGTAGGAAAGGGATGACTCCCATGCTTTCCCAAGGAATGGGGATTTTTTTCAGGGATGCACGGGGTAATGAAGAAGCTGGGCCTTCCTGGAACCCAGGAGTCAGTCCTAGGTGGCCCTGAGGGTCATAGCTTCCCTACAATTGGAGGTTCTGCACGCTGTGTGGGGCCCTGTCGTCAGCACAACCACTTATGTCCTCTAGTTCTTTTTCATGCTTCTAACAGCCCACTTTGCTCTGTACTTGCCTGTTCACGTTTCATCATCTTGTGAGGCAGGACCTTTCTTGGTGACCTGTAGAAATAGTCATGCACCACCTAATGTTACACTCAGTGATGGACTCAGTAATGGACCCTGTGACTCTGTGAAGGACCCTGCAGTGGTCCCAGAGGATTATAGCAGAGCTGAAAAATTTCTGTTGCCTCATATTTTTGCTGTACATTTTCTATGTTTAGATACACGAATACCATGTGTTACAGTCACCTACAGTATTTAGTACAGTAGCACACTGTACAGTTGTAGGCAAGAAGCAATATGTTATACCATATAGCCCTGGTGTGTAGAAGGCTGTAACTCTAGGTTTGTGTAAGTAAATAATTTACTCTATGTTTTTCACACACACAGTGACACAATTGCCTAATAAAGTTTTTTTGTTTGTTTGTTTGTTTTTTGGTACTTGGGATTGATCCCGGGCGCTTAACCACTGAGCCACATCCACCAGCCCTTTTTATATTTGATTTAGAGACAAGGTCTCACTGAGTTGCTTAGGACCTCAATATGTTGCTGAGGCTGGCTTTGAACTCACAATCCTCCTGCCTCAGCCTCCTGAGCTGATGGGATTACAGTGCCACCAAACCTGGCCCCTAATAAAGCATTCTTAGAACATATCCCTGTCATTAAGCAATAGCTGACTGCACTTGAATGGCTGCTGACTGCCAGCCACACGTGGGGAACAAGCGGAGCCCTTCCTCTTTGCGGAGCTTACAGTCTAGTGGGGGAGTAGTCAAATAAATACTGACTCTGAATTAAACAGTATACCCAAACCCCACATGCAAATACAAAACTTGACAATGATGGGTCCCCTTCCTGGCACCGTGCACAGTGCTCTAAGAATGTCTGTGTAATGAGCAATGGTGTGGTGGGGTAGGCATGGCTTTCCTGAACAGTAGCTTTTGAGTCATGATTGAAAGGATCATCCTGAGGAGAGGAAACACAATAGGAGACTAAACAGAAGGACCAAAAGGAAGAGTGAAGCATGCCCTGACACTTTGGATAGAGAAGTCAGTGAACACTAGAAATGTCCTCTGGACTTGGAAGCCCTGAGGTCTTTGATATCATCAATAAGAGCCCTGCAGTGAGTAGTGGAAACAGAGCAAGATCATGATGAAATTAGAAGCTAACATCAGGAATGGAATGGAGATGGCCACTGTAGACCACCCATTCCAGATGTTTGCCTGTGAAGAAGCAAACAGGGTGATGGGTGAAAGAGCTGTGTGGGTGATGCCGGGCTTTTTAATTTCGCAGTTTTATGTCATTTAACAATGGGACTTGTTCTGAGAAACGAATCATTAGGCAATTCCATTGCTGTGTGGATATCATAGGGTATGCTTACATGAACTCAGACCCTGTGTTGTCAGTAGATGATATCATCTTGTGAGATCACTGCCATCACATTATGTCATTGACCAAAACGTTGTTATGTTGTGCACGACTGTCTCAGTTTTTAGGTAAGAGATACATCTGCATGTTTGAAGATTGGAGGGACGGTTCTATTTGACGATTGAGGATTTCTTTCTTTCTTTCTTTTGAAATTGAGGATTTCATATGAGACAATTAGAGTGTGACCAGGTGGATGGAGGAGGATCCAAGCACAGGAGGTGGGTTGGCCAACCCACCATGATGGGCTTCTTCATTCCATGGCAGGAGTGTGGAGGGTTCTGCCTCACAGAGACAGACAGGAGTAAGGCAGGAGCCAAGGAACTCCGAAGCTGGAAGAGCACAGATGTTAGAGGTTCTCAGCACAGAGTGGGGAGGAGCTGTTGGATCAGTAAAATAGAGTGTCAAAAGTCCCACTGAAGACTGTGGTCAAAGTGTGGCATTAGTTTGCTTCTCCTAAGACATTTCTAGGGGCTTCTGCTATGAGGTTGTCTGAATTTGCCCCAAGACATCCAAGCCTCTTTAAAGAGGATGGCCATCTAATAGCATGAATATAACTTTAAATGAATGCAAGTACATTTTCTTATATTTATGCAATATCTGAGACGAACTAAGCAACAATAGAAAATGCAAGGCTGAAAACTTCCCAAGTTTCTGTCACCTGTCCAAGGGCCACCCTGATTCCATACCTGTTGATGGCTGGTATAATTTTGGGAAGTGATAAAATTCCCCTAGGGGTAGATTTCTTCCCCTATTAAATGGAGTGATACCTGTTAAGGTAAGTGCTAAGTGAGATCATGTGACTGCCTTGAACAGTGTCTGGCTCTGGCAGGGTTGACTTCCTGGCTTACTCCTTTGGGCTCTTAATGATTGCTTAGCTCTTCTCTCTTGGTGTTTGGAGAAGCTGCTATCTTGATGAAGAAGCCCAGGACTGTCCAGGAGATGTGGTTCAAAGAAAAGCAGCGAGACTGGCATTGCCTGGCTCCAACCCCACTCAACAGGAAAT